CCAAGCCCAGGTGGAAATAGCTCGAGACACTGCTGCTACGCTCCACCTACAAGTACAACGCCAATGGCAGGTACCTCTAGGTGACAAAGAGGGCATCACCGAACCTGCTGTATACCAGTGCCAGGAATGTCACCGGGTCTTTACCTCCTTTCGGCTACTACGCTCTCACGAGGCTAAATGGCATGGACTTAAGACACCAGCTGCTGTCCCAGTGCCTTTTGATAGGTATGCTCATGGAACAGAAGGACTCCCAACGTGCAGACATTGTGCCCATCCCTTCCGACAATGGGATAGACTTGTCAAACACATCAAACGCAATCGGTGCCAGGTACTCCGTAGACTCGCCACACAATCTCCCGATGATGCCCAATCCTCGGTTCCGAGATCAATTGAATCCGGTCCTTTACCAATCCCTGCATTGGTCACTCTGCCCCCTCAGGCATCCTCTCAGGAGACCCACATTCTCCAGGAGGATAAAGCTGCTACGCCTACTACTATTCCCGATGTAATACCTGAACCCCCTGTCACAGATGTTCCAATGCAGGAAAACTCCACCACACCGAGCCATGAGGCTGTTCCCCTTCATCAGCAATCTCATGTTCTTGATGTACTACGTGCACGCAGGTGGACTGACCTCCTTGAGAAGCCGGAGATCCCATCGTATCTCCAGCACCATTGCCCGCTGTGTTATCAGTGGCTAGCCACTCCCACCAGCATCAAGTATCATCTCACCATGCAACATCCAGAGTGGCAAGACTACCAACCCGCGACTCTCAAGCTCCTTACCGGTTTCCGCCGACACACTGTAGTTCCGTGTCGATATGATACTGTCATCAGCGAAACATCAACAAAGATCGACATTGGAAACAGTGTCATGTTCTGCATATCTGTGCATTTCTAGCAGCGCATCATGACGCTCACCGCGGATCCCATGGAGCTGGACGAACAGGAGAGGCAATTTTGGGCCCAGGCTGGTCCGGTCAAGCGGGAACAGGAACCGCGAAGGGATATGCTGCAACCAGCCGAGCAATCCAAGAGGCAGCGCCTGGCACCGCAGGATCGGAACAAGGGCAAGGGCAAGGGTATCAAGGGCAAAGGCAAGAGAAAGCAGGGCCTACCAAATCCACCAAGTGCACACCCGACCATGGGTTACACAAATGGTTTCGGAAGCCATCCACCCAATCCCTGGACACAGACACAGGACCTGCAGCCACTGGGAAGTCAGGATCCCGAATGGATGGAGTACAGGATGAACCGACTGTCTCAGCTGGTCCTTCGTCAGGAGCAAATCATCTCAGCCATCCGTCAGGATCTGGTCCTCTACCTCTTTGTACGATCTGGACCAGAAGGGATGGTGCCAGTTCTATGCGATGCAGCGGAGAAGTGGAGGAAGATGAAAGAGGAAGAGCCCGAGAAGATCACTTACTCCCTCAAACTCATGCTATTCAAGCAACTGCTCATCACCTTGCATCAGAGGTTGACCACTATGATCGCGGCCAATACCGGCGGAGGATCTGTTGGCCCAACTGGTTCAGATGAGGAAGGCTGTTACGGAGGAGACCCTGGTGAGATTCAAGTCCATGCGGAAGCTCACCACGGAGGTGACCTCCGACTGGAGCCAATTCCAGATCTGCTTGTCACTTCGTCCAGAGGGTGGAGCCATGTGGAGCACGCTGAACCAGTGGATCGGTCAAGCATCGTGGCACACACTGGGATGCAGGCTCCGTCGAGATCGACCGAACTACGACACCCTGGTCCAGGAAGTGTGGCAGCATCAGATGCCGTGCTGAGTGTGCGTCCCAGTCTCAAGGCAGTTCTTCGATTGATCCTCCATAATCCATCGAATTTGTGCTACCTACACTCTACCATCTATGCCCTTCTGTGGACAATCCTTCAGGCCAGGCTACATGATGCATACATCTCGCCTCCACCGCAGGCTCTTACCATGCTGTGTCCACCAATCACTGATTCGCCCAATTGCCCCATTCAGGTGCTTCATTCGGCACCGTGGCTTATGCTGCTGCAAGCTTGGCCTTCTGTACACCGTCAGCATGATGCAGCTGAGTTGATACAATACCTCTTACCCAGGTTCTCGCATAGTGGGTTCAATGGTGGCTGGGAGGCCAGAAACTTTGCACCTGGAGGTATTGTTACTCTTGACACGGGGCCTACCCAAGCTCCAATTCCGATTGCGCTACCGGCAGGTCCAAGCTTGGAGCTTCAGGCAGCCATTGATGGGTGGAGTGCTCAGGTCACAGCCCGTTATGCACTGCTGACCCCGTCTTCGCTGTTCTGCATACAACTTCAGCGATTCACGAATGCCGAGGGAGTCATGCGCAGGGACACCAGACCAATGGCTATGGCCTCGACTACAGTTCGTATGCCACTCTTTGCAGGGCTGAACACTATGCAAGTTCGATATGTTCACTATCAGGTCGTCGCTGTACAGCTTCACTATGGGGCCACTCCTGATATGGGGCATTACAGAACTATACTACGAGGGCAGCCGCTGTTTGGTGCAGAAAAATGCGGGATCACTGATGACTCCTGCACAGCCAAGTCAGTTGGCACAGAACATGATGGCAACATATATATAGTGTGGCTTCGTCAGGTACTTCCACCTGGAGCCTGATGCTGAGCAAGTATAATCTTAGTGGATGGAGCTGGCACTGCCCTCCAGAACCCAACAGAGGTTCCGATACCGGGCTATCGTCAGCTCGCTAGGCGAATCTGGATACTTTCGTTGCGTGGTGAATGAATGAACTACTGCTCCTTCTACTGGTACTACTACTACTACGAGTAGCAAGTTAGCCACCTCCTAGTATGGACCTACAACCTTTCCTCCTCCCATATGAAGAAACCCATGCTGCAGCCTAGACAACTATACATAGAAATTGACAACCAAGCACGCTTACAATAAGCTGCTTTTAGTCAGCTTTAGACGGGGTATGCTTCAGGGGTATGCTTCGCGGTATGCTTCGGGGGGTATGCCTGAGAGTATGTTTCGCGCACGGTCCAACGTGCTTCTTATCTAAAGCTTCGAGACCCTCATTTTTGGAAACAGCCAAATATATATATATATATATATATATATATATATATATATTATACCCCAGAATCGTCTTGAATCGCCCTATAGTAGTATTTATAATCTTCTGAGGCCACGATTTGTATGTAATACATTAAGTAAAGTATCATGAAGAAGAAAATAGAAAAGAGATAGCGGGAGAGAAAGAGACGAAGTAGTAAAAGGAAGCTAAAGAAGGTAGGCCGATAACGAAATAATAACCCCAAAATAGAGAATAAATTATAGTATCTTCGATGTTCGGTTTCTGCGGATGTTAGAGCGTAGAAAACTACGATGATTATCCTAAAATATGACCTGAGAAATTTGAGAAAGTCGCATGGTGTGGGCGGTATAGGACTTATCGTAGAGTCTGCCGTCGGCCGTCCGTCGTCGTGTCGTTAGTCGCCGACTCGGCTGTCGATGCGTCGTCTCTTGTCCAGTCCAGAGTTGATGCAGAGTAGATGCCAGCGGACAGGGTGCAGGAGAAGCCAAAGATTTTTCTCGTCTTGTATTGCCCTCACGATCCTGACGGCCGACCGTAAGACACTGTTCTTGACTCTCACCCAGGCAGCACGAATATGCAACAGAAAGGACATGATCAAGGGGTAATAAAGTCAAATGCCATGTTTGCTTGGCGCCGCCTGTTTACTAAGGAAGCGACACATGGCTTCGACATGATTTGTCGCCGGATAGTGGGATTGGTGAAATGCTCGGAACAAGCGGCTCGTGCAACTGGATCACCTGGCGCAGCACGGCCTGCATTGTTCTGGAGCCCTGCCTGATGCGAGGCGGTGCCCTTGACACAACTTGGGTGATGTAGATGTTGTTAAACTTGTTAAACTGGATTACATGTACGGTAAAGTACCACGCCATTGGCCAAGGGCTAAGTAGGAGCTGTCAAACGGGCCAGTGTGCAAACGCTGCACCAAGCGTACGACAGCAGATGTTGCTTAAAAAATGAAGCAGGAAATGGCCGATGGCCCAAAAACAGTAGCAGCCACATGCCACAACGTCGCGAGCTCCGTGATCCTGACACGACACTTCATGGTGCTCCGGTTGACAACACGACTCCTAAACTGGGAATTCCGTGACTAGGTCGCTGCACAACGACGCGAATTGAGACACGTGAGACAGACTCAGTGCGCTGTGGGTTGCAAACATTTGCATTCAGATTGCCATATTGTGGCCGCTGCACAATGCGAATGAAGACATGTGACAAAAACTCAAAGCGATGTGAGACGCTCCCCAGCTCAGCTGGGTTCGCGGGGAGGATGCCGAAAGTAAAGAACATCGGCTAGGCCTGAGCAAGTGCCCACACGGACGTCGAGAACAGGGCCATAAGCATCCTCCCGTTGTACGCACGGTGCAGCGGCCGCCATCCCACAGCTCTCCCAAAGAGCTTGATCCAATCCAGGACCTAGGACTCTGCTTTGTCGTTGGGAGGCCGCAAGGTTCCTCGAATTTAATCGGAAGGCCGGTTTTTCATAAGCCGATTCGCTTGCTCTCTGCACACCCCTGGCGCGGTGTGGTCAGGATATACTGCCAGACGGCAAGTCTTGGAGTCCCTCTGAATCCACACGCCCAATCCAAATCTTGCACCACGGCAGGGGGCTTTCTTGATGGAGCGGCATCGGGCGCATGGACCGGAAAGAAATGGAACTGGGCAATGACGAAGCATTCCGCAGCACAGCAGGGAGGAGAGCCTGCTGGTTAAATGAAAAGTGGGTACATCGAGAGGCACGAGACCTCCGACCCGACCGGAGACCGGACCCTGCTCACAACGTATTTCGATGTGTCGATTTCATTGTCACATGCACACTGATGTGTGGCCGGTTCTCGGATGAGTCCTCAGGGTTTTCGCAGTGCTGTCAGCTCCTGCAGCAAACGGGCCTTGCAACCGCTCTCACAGCGGCCTGCAGCCAACCGAACCATCTCAGAGAAGCTCATGGACTGAATGACCTGGCTCAAGATTTCGATTGCGCTCACGACATATCATGAGCAGCCCTGACATTGCGGCACCTTCCGCAGGTTGCAGAGCAGCCGATCCTTCTGCTTCGTCGGCTTCGTTGGTGGTGTCAGCCCTGCCCGCACCTCCAGCGCCTCGGATCAAGACTCACATCAGGCTCACAGCAAATCACCTTCGATAGTCTTCGCCGAGGCGCTGCAAGCAGGAAGCCCACATCTTGGACTTGGAGGCCATCTTGTTGCGCCCTCCCGCGCGCAAGGACGGCCAGAAGGCCGAAGAACTCCTCGTTTGTCAAGGTCCTGCTGAACTCGCGCTGCCGCTTGTCGGGCTGGACACGCTGATGGGGATAGTGGCAGTTGACGCAAGCCCGGCCCTTCCGGCACCCGAGGCCCCTTGCGAATTGAATACATGGCTTCGCGCACAAAACGGGATGACCTACGCTGCCACGACTCGCCCTCTGTGCAGGGACTTCTGCTGAGTCGGGGTTTGCCTTGTGACCTCCCTGCAGGTGGCAGAGATGCTGTTGGGCCACTTCGTGCTCCGTCCGATCCGGGCTGGCGATGGAAGCCCAGAAGCGGCAGGGGGAGGCACTCCGTGCCCTCCCTTGTCCCTTCGCCGCTTGCGCTTCTGACTCATCCAGATCCTCCTCGATGTCAATGAATGTGAAACGATAGCAAAGCTTCGACATGTCTGAAAGTCTTTCTCACGCTTCTCGAGCATCAGCAGCTACAGTATCGGTGCACGTGCTTTATCGCGCCAGCCGCAGATTCTGCTGGCCTCATACTAAACAAAACTGGACGGAATGCGCCCTGTTCGCTCAGCGGACTGATCACTGATGCAAATGTAACATCAATCACGCACCATCTTTTGCCCTTGCATAGGCTACGCCGCGGGTCAGTGAGTCCACTTGGGCACCCACGGATGGCAACTCCAAGCATCTGGTCTAGCTCGGACTTCGGGGAGATAGGATTCTTGGGAGTCTGGGACCTGTACGGAGGCGGTGGCAAAGCAGCCGCGGGCGTGGTCTTCGAAGGCCGGTGCGCCCTGACCGCGCGACCTGGAGGCTCAAGAGGCCCCCTGAAGCAGAAAGCGAGCAAACTTCTTTTGTCCTTCATGTCGGGACATACGAAGTTTCATTTGTGGTCTTTAGAATTTCAGACACAATCTGCGGGTGAGCCACATGGGGTAGTCCTGAACATCAGCAGCACTGCACCGCTGAAGTCCGCAGGCACAACAATGAAACCAAGAATGCATAAAGGCTTCGTGACGAGTCTACCAAGAACTGTGTTTTGATTCCTTTTGGCTACTTTCAATATGCTTGATAAGGCACTGTTCCTGTCGTCACGATTGTTTTTATCAATAGTGGAAACCGCCCGGGTTGATAGTGTTCCTCTCGTTTCCTCTTTGGGGCATACTGTTGCTGCTAGTGTTGCTGTTGTTCTTTCCTTTGATTGATGTAGTTATCATCGCCGCGCTACTGCCCATTCTTACCGGAAGTAGTTTACTAGCACTGCTCGGTTGCAATCGATACGGCTATCAATGCGTGCATGCTACTGCTGCTACAAGCAATATTGCTGTTCTTGTTCCTCCGTAATGGCAGTGCTGCTGGCCACAGTATAATCACAACTACGCAAACATTGCTCATGCTGTTCGTATTGCTATTGATCGGGCACAAGTGAGAAGGCGAGCTGTGCCACCCATCCGCTTGCGACGCAGCCCGGGCTGTCGGGCTACTGCCGAATCGACCCAAACAAACCTCAAACCAAGCCGTGCGTCTCATCCAAATCTGGCGTCGGCGGAAAGCTCGAGTCCCAACTGCAGTCGAGCTGCCTACGATAGCTTGAGATCAAATACAGGCAAGGCATCCACAACTTTCTCGTTAAAATGCAGGCTCGTGCTTGCGCAACCAGCTTGGCACAGAATGGTGCTGAGTGCTGAGTCACCTCTTGAACGTCTACAGGCTGTGAGGATACGCCTGGAGGAGATGGTCATGGCTCAGAACCGGGACTCAGGCGCCGACGGTGGATTGATTGCAGAACCCTCGGAGGTCTAATAAAGCACACACCGTCGCTGAGATACCTTCGTCTGAACTCCCAAACACTCAACGCAAAATCCAGAAGCAATCGACCCCAGCTGGCAACGCCAAGCTTGAAAACCCCAAACTCCCTGAGCCCTAAGCCCTATGCTTCAGCATCCTTTTTTCGGCCACGATCAGATCTCGAAGTCGATTTGCGAAGCCTCCCTCTCGGCCTCAGGGGATCAGAGGCGCAGGGGCACAGGCCGCGCAGGCCGAGTTGCTTGGTCCGCTTGGTGCTGTGCTTTGGGGTTCTTCTGGGTCTTGGGAGTTCAAGACGGTCTGGCGAGCCTTCAGGGTTTTGAGTGTTGGGAACTGGGCGAGTGAGGTCGGCTGCAGGGTACAAGTGCTGCTTTGATTGAGTTGTCTCGAGCAAGACGGCAAGGGAACGACAGTGCGCCAAAACACTCGGTTTCGGCCAGTGGGAGCAGTAAGCCTCGCGTCAGCGACGACTCTGGCATAGCAAAAGTGCTTTCATGAATCGAAAGAGAAGAATAAGGATGGCCGCTGCTGCTGCTGCTGGTGCTGCGATTCTAGGATACTCGTGGGAAGAAATGATTGCACGAACAGACGGATGAACGAACATAAAGAAGCCACAATCGCAATGCATACTGTCAGCACCTGGGAATCAGTGCAGACATCCACGCAACACGTCAGCTAGACGTTGAAACTGAGAGTAGAAGCTGTAATGGTTATCACGGAGCCCTGCGAGCAGCTGGATAACCGTGGGAGATGCCACTGAAGGTTGCAAGACTGCGGAGCAATAATCAATCCAGTGAAAGAACGAACAGGAGTCGGCATCCGATCTTGCCGAGTTTTGAAGCCGCCTGGCCCGACATCCCCACCCCTCAGAACAGTTGAAGCTTCGAGCCTACCCTCAACTCCTAAGCCCGAAAAGAGAAACCAACGAGGAACCTAGACGAGGGGTGTAGACGCCCCCAAATCGCAACAACCACCCAAAACATGCAGCTGAGATCTTTGCAGCCTCTGCAGCTTCCTTGGCTGCTTGCAGTCTTCGGAACTGCCTGGAAGAACGAGGTCTCAGAAAGGCGTGCTGAGCTGCTGGGTGGCGGGGGATCTCATGTTGGAGCAATCAGGTGCGGATCGGGCCTAGGCTCAAGGCGCTTATGTTCAGGGCCTGTTGGGGCATGTCTTGACGGCAGATTACAACGCGTATGTTTCAACCCACGTTGGAACAGGCCTCTAGGGCCCAGCAACCCGGCATGACGAGGAACTTGAGGTTTGAGCTTTGGAAGCTTGGATGCCAGTACTGATGAAGTGATGATGCTGAGGAAGATGACGATACTTGTTGGCACTGCCACTGGTTTTATTGATGACGTTACTGTGAGATATTATGTACTGTTGCGAGAGCGGGGGCGCCTTACCAGCGAGGGTTCTAGGAATGTCGTGCAGCTTCGCCATGTTTGCTATCCGTAATGAGCGCTGAGGATGGAAGTTCCACGTTAAGAGCAAGATGAACGAGTGAGAACAGGTCGTGAAGGCATGCGGGCATCAAACAAAAGGACCATAAGCACGACGAATACTCCCAACAAGCTGATCACCTGCGGCGACCAGTTAGGCATCCCTGAGGCCTTAGAGTACAGAGTTGAAGGATCCCTCGATCCTGAAATAACTACGACCGCGAGTTTCGTGCACCGCCTCAACTTCTCCTTCACCTCTTCCAGAGGCAGCTGTGCCCTGTCTCGCAGCTCCTCCCAAGCGTCGAAGCCGCTAGGTTGTCCGAGGTTGAGGGTTCAGGGCCTCGCAGGGGCTGCAGGCTTTCAGGAGGCTCTGTTGTGCGTGTCTGAGTGTCAGTGGTTGAGTTTCGACCCTGTTGCACGGGGAAGACAATAATGGCAGTGAGCGAGTCATGGCCAAAACGACCTCCCTGCATGTGGGGGCAGTCTTCAAGGAGTTTAGGTGCAGGTGCTGTCTGTTTCCACTGGGTAGTCCTGAATGAGCATTGTTGCGGCAGCGACTTTTCCCGTGAAGTCGCGTATCCGTGCTTGTGTAGTGAGGATGCGGATAAAAGATTGCAATTTGAGCCCGCCGGATATCGCTCGGCGACCAAGCTGAACCATCCCGGCAACATGCCCTCATTACCCGAAAAACACAACCGGAGCAACACATATGCTGCAGTCGGGGCATAGTACGCAAAGTGGAGACTCAACCTGTCCTTGGTCTACTTTCTTACCTCGGCTAGAAACTCTCCTCGGGAACTGATGGGTACTGTGCGAAAAAGAAGGTGGAAGTCGGTTGCAGAGACGATGCTTACATGCGCTGAGGCCGCTAGGGGCTCCAAAGGGCCCATCCGTAGAATTGACGCAGTATTCCGGAGTTCCATGATGAAGCCGCGGAGAAATGCAGGAGGGACTGTATCAGACCCAAAGCAAATTCCAAAACTTCTGAATGGGCTGCACAAGATCTTCCGATCCTCTGCCACAGGCCGCGCGTCCGCGATGAGTGTCTGAAGATACTGTCGTTTCCTGCGCAGGGCATCGCTTAAGATTTCGGGCCTGGGGGTTTGGGCAGCAACGTCAAGACAGCTCAAGTCATGGATCCTGACCCCAAACCCTTCACAAGCAATCATCCGACCCTTACTCCCAACCCTGAACCCCACTCTTTTTGAAGTTGTGGTGCCCGCTGCCCTGCCCTTCAGCCCAATAGGCAACCCATAAATACTCAAATGCCTCACAGCCACCCAACATGCCCTTTACCTACCCAAATACCTCCAGGGTCTCAGGATACTTTGAAGATGACAGGACGAGGTCTCGGGAAACAACATTAGGGTTGATGCCTGCCGTCGTCGTTGCCCAACTCCAGCCAATCGTCCCATCGCACCCTCCGCACGTCCCAGCCCAAAGAGGTCAGCCTCGTGCACACACATAAGCCAAACTGCATGTTTCATCCATTGATCCAACCATTCTGGATAAACGAACTTCTGAGGCCACAACTGAATAACCCGCTGACCCATTAACCCATCGACCCATTAACCCAATCATTCTGGCCAAATGGATCTGGGAGGCCCCAACCCACGAACCCGTTAACCCAGTCATTCAGGCCAGATGGGCTTGGGAGTAGGCCGTAGCCCCAACCCATTCACGCCGCATTAGCCCATTGACCCATTAACCCTTTAACCCAACCGTGAATGATTGGGCTGATGGGTTGACGGGTCAATCGGTTCATGGGGTAATGGGTTGGGGCCAAAACTCACTTCCAAGTCCATTTGACCAGAATGTGTGGGTCAGTGGGTCAATGAGCTAGAGGTCAACCTAAGCTCTAATCCACCTGGCTAGACCTGCTTCGTTATACTACGTTATTTTACAAAGCTATGAAGTGAACAAAATAATTCAACATGCTGCCATATGTCGTTCAAAACATGTTGTAGTGTAACGTGCCATATCATGCTGGTTTACATGCTGTCATATGTCCTAGTGTTGCACGAAATGTTGCACACTTTACATGGTGTATTAAGAAATTATGTGTTATATTTTCTGCACTGTATATGTACTGTTTTTGTTTATTGTGCGGTCAAATATCAAAATGTGATTTAATGTTTTAGTTTGCATTATTATTCTCCCTTGTGTCATCTTGATTTGTTTCATCTTATCAAACCCTTATCGCATTTTATGTCATAGCAACCCCACGTGTTACATTATACTGTGTTTAATGTGTTAGTGCATTACCTCATCCCTACAATGTAGGGACGGCGTAACACACTGTAGTAAGATCTTTAGTAATACTCATTAGCTTTCTGCACGAATTGCGACTCCCTACTGCAAATTGGAACCCGCCAGTGCCTTGTCACAAACCGCAGCCTAGCCGTTGCGATTCCCAAATAGAGTTCTGCAAAACCCCGCCTCACAACCTTAACTTGCGATTGCGCGGGTCCGTAGTTCGTCGGTGTGGAATGAGGAACATCAGAAAACGTGGGGGGCATAACCACACGATACGTATATGTATACACATACGCATACTCACACACTTACACGCACATGTACACGTACACCTACACATCAACAAACACAAATACGGATACTGCAAAAGTACCTACATACATACATCCATACATACATACAAGCATACATGTGCTCCAACAACCAGAACCGGAACGCTGGTGTAGCAAAGCTGGGACTTGGATGTACACTGAAGCCAGAAATATCCGAAGCTTTGCTATCATCTTAGCATATCTAAGCTGTGACACTTGAAACGCCGAAAACCGGCAGCAAGGGGATAAGTTTAAGTTTTCCAGTCTTGCATAGCAGAAAGTATGACCGTTCGAATCTCAACCAAACACGTGCAGGGTGGGGGGCGTTCGAACCTTGAGGTATCCTGGCTCTACTTGCACAGCTACCAAGTCTGGAGATGCCAGACCAACAAATCTGCCTGACCCGTTCTACGAAGCTTGGAGCAAGGCGTCTCGTGTTGCAGGTGCTTTGCCGGCAAATACTGATCGCTGCCTCGGTCGCAAGCACAGACTCTTCACGAAAGTCTGCCTTAGATGATTGCGAGCTGGATGTGAAAATCTGATTTGGCACATCGCCGAGATTTTGATGAGTCATCATCGTAACAGAGGCAGATGAGGTGGTGGTCGACATCGTACTAGTAGTAGCAGCACACCTGCTACACCCTAGTAGAAGTAGAAGTAGAAGTAGAAGTAGAAGTAGAAGTAGAAGTAGAAGTAGAAGTGAAGTAGAAGTAGAAGTAGAAGTAGAAGTAGAAGTAGAAGTAGAAGTAGAAGTAGCAGTAGCAGTAGGAGTAGGAGTAGGAGTAGGAGTAGGAGTAGTAGTAGTAGTAGTAGTAGTAGTAGTAGTAGTAGTAGTAGGAGTAGTAGGAGTAGTAGGAGTAATAGAAGTAGAAGAAGTAGTAGTAGTAGTAGTAGTAGTAGTAGTAGTAGTAGTAGTGGTGGTAGTAGTGGTAGTGGTAGTGGAAGGTAGGTAGGTAGGTAGGTAGGTATGGGTAGGTAGGAGTAGGAGTAGGATTGGGAGTAGGCGTGGGAGTAGTAGTAGTAGTAGTAGTAGTAGTAGTAGTAGTAGTAGTAGTAGTAGTAGTAGTAGTAAGAGTACTTATCAAACTTCCGGCACACCATGCCAGGAAGTGAGTGGCCGTCGGCAACGCCATCGTACCACCACCACCACCACCACCACCACCACCACCACCACCACCACCACCACCACGATTACTGCTATCACCGTCCTACCGCAACAACCATCACTACCGCCAACACCACTATCACTTTGAGCTCCTGCTTCAACCAGGATTTCTCTACAGCAGCTGCTCATGAAGAGGACACCGAGTGATTCATGCAGCGATTGACGTTGTGCCCATGCGATCCCAGTCCGTGTTCATTCAGATTCGCTTTTTCGCCACCGTGTGAATGCCGATGAATGGCTGTGATACGTCTTTAAATGCTTGAATGTGCTGTCAAATGTGACAGCAGCATCCTCATGCAAGTCTAGCGAGCGAGACTCTCCAAATTCTGCCACCATTGAATCTGTTTACAATCAAGTTCCAAGGGCTCCACAGTAGAAGAACGAGGACGGACCATCGACCATCACACAGCGCCTCCTTTCATCCACCTGCGAAGATCTGCAACAACCCACTACACCCCTGATCAGCACACGTTCTAGTTAGTGGAGCCTGCACCCCTTAGGAGAGGGCATCTGTTCGGGTCCAAGCCTTAAACCAGCTGGTGTCTGAAGGCACTCGAGTGATAGCCGGCTCGACAAGCTAAGCTGAGGGCGCCTCGCTTGCGCTTGTCACTTGTCATTTCAGGAGGGTTGGGGTTCTGTGCTGGCCTCAATCTGTTCCAGGCCGATGTCGATGTAAAGAGGTCCCCAACGGAAAGAGTTGCGATGAGCCTGGAAAACATTGAGGGGTCTGCGGCTGTAAGGCTTTGCATTATGCGGCCCACGAGATCTAGCCGCTTCCGACTTCGTACGAAAAGGTACGGGGTTGCAGCTACTCAGGCCAAGAGGGGGCCTTCGATTCCAGTCACAGCCGAACACAAACTGAAACAGGCTCTTGTCCGGGCTGTGAGTGTGTGGGGGTGGTGGGTGGGGTGAGGGCCTGTCGGGTTATGGTTGAGTCGGTTGAGAGATGAAACTTCTGCAGACCCGATGTAGAGCCTCGTTTGTCCCGCCCCTTAAAGGCTTTTGGAGTCAAGGTTTTGTGGCATCCCTAAGCCTCAAGCTGAGCTTGGCAACTTCCGGTTTGTGGCCAATCATCCCCGACCTTTGGCGTCAACGTAGGCTACAAGTAGACCCTCAACACCTACTGCTCGGCTCGAAGAAGGAGGGCACAGCACATCAAACTCCCTGCACGCTAAAAAACGCAACGTAACCTGTACCAAACAAACGCTGCACCCGAACATTGTGAATCTGGGCTGTTCTCGGTCAAAGTCCCTTTCAAAACTACCAATTTGTTAATCCGTCTTCTGAAGCTGCCAGCCGAAGACTTCAGTTGCCTCTCCCAGGTCCGCCAAGAGCCGCGAGACGTCCCAGTGCAGCTGGGACGGCCTCGGACCGTAATGGAGGAGCCATAACCAACAATGCGATCCCAGTCACGCCTGGAGCGGTGCGGGCGGTGACAAAACCAACGCTACCCAAGAAACCGAAAAACACAATCTGAGCCCAGTCACGCCGAAATGGGTACTCTCTAAACACCTTAAAGCACCTAAAAACGCAATGTGAACTCAGTGACGGCAGCAATGCCATGGCGGCGGGCGGTGGGGGCGGTAGAAATGGGGGGTGGTGGGGGCGGTGGGGGCGGTGGGGGCGGTGGGGCCGGTGGGGGTGGTGGGGGTGCGGGGGGGTCCGGGCATGCATTAGAATAATTTGTGAACATGTCCGACGGTGCCGTGTGACATATCCACATCCCTTTCGATGTAGGTTCAAGAAAAGTACTCTACGCTCCTCCTGGTTGTCCGGCAGAATGCGCATCCCAAACAACACGTAATAAATTGGTTGAAAGTCTCTCCTTTGGATCAATGGCGTTGTTTTGATCCACGAGGCACCTGAATGCAGAAGCTGCGCGTTCCGGCAAAGCATGACGTTTGATGTTGGCACAGTTCCAGTCGCCTGGGACACCTTTCGATGTGATGGAACCCAATTTATGTTCAGCTCTCTGTTCTCTTGACGAGGCAACCGCCAAACTGTTTGCCACAGGTCAGCATTGCTTGAGCTTTGCCAATACAATACGTCCCAACTCACACCTCTGCGCAAACTACAGCGAACCTCAGCATAGGGGAATGCTTGCTGATCCAGTTCTGATTGCAGCTGCTGTGAAAGCGGCATGCCAGGCAAATGCCCCTCGTAGAACAGTGGCTGCTGTTGCGGCGGCTGTGACCTCGGCTCTGGTCACACCTGCTGTGCGCTCAGGCACTGTCTCGAGTGAGGCTGCTGGAATGCAGGAGGTTGACGGCGATTCCCGCAGCGTGCATGTCGTGCTGCCAAGCGGAGGTTGAGGCGACAACGCAAGCGCGTGATGCAAGGACAGCTGCTGCCACCGTTTGTGCTGATGCGACTGATGCGAGAGATCTTCAGGCCAAGACAGACTGGGGGATTGTGGAGGCTGAAGTCAACCCCAAAAAGCGGCCCCGCCGCCGAATCAGAGGGATCCGACTGGTGAAATGCCACCGGGCAAGTGTTTCTGTGAAGTCGCCCCGGGACCATACTTCGATGATGATGGCGGAGCAGAGGGGGCGGCAATGGCTACTGCCTCTCCCTCTGTATCAGTTCGAAGCTCTTACGCTGCTGATACGTGCCCTACTCATCCCGGCTTTCCCACCTGGTATGATGCTGTCCTCACTATACAGAGTGGCCCATCTTCCGAATGGACAAGCCAGACCCGTGTGCAGAGCTGATCTTGGAGATCCAGATCTTTTCTCGACAAACTGGTACACAGTTGCCAGTGGACCGAAGTCGGCATCAGAGCAAGGTTCTGACTGGATGGTCTTCCCGAAAGAGCGGTGACTGACTGGACACCGACATCCTTCTGGATCTTCTTCCACAGCCACGCTCGCCTACATTGCCGATTTGTGAGCTCGAGTGCTGAAGTTATCAGGATGCAGCCTCCTAGTTTTCATGTGCCTCCATCAAGAGTATGGATGCTCAGGCTTCCACGACCGCCTGACCGCCGCATTCGCCCCAAAACCCTATTCCAATTATTAAGGCCCCTATCTTAGCAACCCGTGAGTGGCATCTGGGAGCCCCTGGCTCTTTGCCCTTGTCAGCGATATGCCTTCAAGATCGGTTTCGGGCTTCGGCTTTGGGTTTCCGCTTCGGTTTCGGGGCTCGCTTAGAGTTGAAACTGCAGAAGGTTTACGGCTTCTGGGACAGGCTTCTGTGATTCAGGCATTGTTGGACATGTAGCTTTTAAGGTAGAGTTGTTCCTTAGTTCAGAAGACAAGACACATGGATTAGAGGGCCCATGTGGACATGAGAGCTCGGCAGAATCCCGTGCTTACACGAGCGCTTACAGGCTTGGAGCTCGGCACAATGCTGTGCATGCGACGCGCGGATTCCTGATCTGTGAATGCTCAGGTCAGGATGTTTTCGGACTGATCGGCTGACTGAATCCTGAACCCATTGAAACGACAGGAAGTGAAACATAGGATGGATTTCGCATGCTCCCATATGCATTCCCAGCTCTCAAACAAATCCCATCCCGGATACACCGCATCCGTGCCTCTGCGAGAGCCGCACGTAGAAGGACTTGGAGTCCTTTGAAAGCATCCGCCAAACCTGGTGTTTGGCACCCTCCCCTAGTGCAGCCTCAAGCTTGAGGCCGCCTCTCGTGTGAGAACCTGTCAGGCTTCAGGTATAGGTGTTTTCTGGACTCTCTGGTTCCAGTTTCGGGGTGCAGTCTACAAGCTGAAAACAAAACCAATCCCTAAATATCCCTCTTAGAAATTCGGAGGTGCGCCTGAGGTCTCTGAATGCGGCACACCACGGCCGACTCGTACCTTCCAATGGCGGTCCCAACGTGGAACGTGGCTCAGAATAAGGTTGCAGGGAATCGTATAGGGGGCTTCAAGAATGAGCATAGGGTTTGACGAGAGGTACATGTCTGCGCATACTGATGGATATATTTTTGCCAAAACATGGATCAATTACGACCTCCAAAAGCTCAGCGGTCGCATTACTCATGATAGCCCCGATCGAGTCTGCTTCGCCACATTCAAAACGTGAGCTGACCAAACTGCTCAACTTAAACACTTCAAGCGCTCAACACTACTCAAGTTAAACCCTTCAAGGGTTCAAACCCATGCATCACACCACGTTTTGAGGTGTGTTGTCGGACATGGCCTGTATGGCCTCTGACATTGGCCTCACAGCTTGTAGCCCAAATCCCCAAGCCACAGGAAGCGGCACGCTTTCAACAGGTGCATGGGCCGGGCTGTGATGAAGATCTTCCGGAAGCGCCTTGGCCCCGAAACCCCATTGAAGCATGTCGACTCCCGGGAATCCCTGACGACCTGGCGCTCTTCGACAGGGCGCTGTTCATTCCAAGAGTTGCAGAAGCCCCGGTTTGGGCCTCAGGGGCCTGCATTTGGGGCCTTTTTTTGCACCAGGAATCGCTCGGCGAATCCCCAAAGCTTCCGCCAGCTCAGGCCGAGGCTCCAGAAGATACGCCGTGACCTCACGGCTCAACGTCTCTGATCCAGGGGCTCAGCCTATGGCGACCCGAAACCTTTCGGTCTTAGGAAGGCTTAGGGCCAAGGGGCTCAGCAGCTCTCGAGTCTTTTAGGGATACTTCTTTAGGGCCTAGAAGGTTTCAGGTTGCTCCGGGTTACCCGCTTCTGCTTGCAAGTGCGAGCGATGGATGAAGAGAAGCGGTGCTTGTCCTGGGCTCCAGCGGCTTCATGCTAGCGGCATGAGAAACCAGAGACATGTCAAAAACTGGAGATGTTGCTTGTTGCTGGTCTGGCTCGGATGCTTTTTTTGTCATCTTTGGCACACACACACACACACACACACACTTTCTTCCCTCAGGTTTTTGGCTTCCTCCTTCCCTCCCTCTCTCACTCCCTTCTTTCCCGCTTCCGTTTCCTCTGCGCTTCGCTTTCTCTCAGGCTTCCGTGCTTCTCTAAGCCGCAGGCCTCATCGTTCCAAAGCCTTCCAATGGTGACGGGGTTCACAGCGTCCCGGAACTGACAGTTTGGCGGATGAGTTGAAGCCAACTTACAGCTCTCCCGAAACGCAAACTGGACGCAACTAAGTCTCTGGATCTCTGGATCAACCCCAATGTATCAGCGATTGTCTAAACAGGCGGCTGAGAAGAGACAAAGTAGGGGCTTTGACAAAAAGAGTGGGATTTTGGATATGGAGATAGCTATCTGTTCCGAGCCCTGCGGTACACCTGGACCTGAGGACCCCGAAGCCTGCTGCGCAAACGTCTCTTCGAGCTTCGGCACAGCGACGCGGGACAAGGCCTCTCGGGCTCAAGCCCATGCTCTCGAGCTCAAGAACGGCTCTACACGGGCTCTGCAAGGTTTCTAGAAGGGTTCTGGGTCTCCCGTACGTTGTCGGGCGCAGAAAGGATACTCAAGTTCTGAACAAGCAAGAGAAAGCATCGATATCTATCTGTGCTTTGTCCGCGTTGGGACCGACATCAAGCAGAGTAGCATTCACAGGGAACCTGCTCGTTTTTCACCAGTGCATGTACGCCGTGATACACGTGGGTGGGGTTTTCAAGGCTCCGCCACAGTAGTGATTCAGTAGTGATGATGAAACCTGACAACAAAGCCTCGGCCTCGGAAAACGCTTACACTTGGCAGCCCCAAATCCGAATGAAACAAGGCGCCGCACCGGCCTCGCGCAGGCCTGGGTCGCGCAGTCCGAGCTGCGCCAGGGCATTGGTGACCTTTGCGACAAGTTGATACAGCCCACCCAAGTACGGCGCCAAGACTTGAAACCACGAGAGAGGCGAAACCGCCCATGCAACCAAAACCCGATCGTCTTGAATGCTGTTTCGCTCCGACGTGAAAATTTAGCTTGGTCAAAGTAAGCCACGACCCCGCTTGGCCAGAGGCCCAAAACTAAACCGGGCTCGTGCGGACTGCCGTCTCTCAATAAAAGCATCCGAAACATGCTGTAATACTGCCTGGGCTTGAATTGACAAGGTGCCGCACAGGGCTCTGCACTACCGCTGTAATGCTGGCAATTGTACATGCCCTTTTCTCTGCGATGTGTGTGCGTTACATTCGATCGGGTTGTCAGGCCAACCACTGAGCGCTGGCCGAAGGATTAAGTTCAGGCCAGGTACAGGTATGAAGGGTTTAGGTGGTTTAGGATTCAGGACCGTCTTTGCCTGGACGAATCCGTCGTTCCTTCGGATCATCCAAATTGTCTGACCTCATTCTGTGTAAGACAAAGCCCGAAGCCCTAGTTTTTCTCCAAGCCCAATAGACCTCACAGACCTTCCTGCTGGAGGCCCCACACCTTGATAAAGTCCGACGGCCGTAGGGCCTCGACACTGTCCTCCGACAGGCAGGGAGTAAGACGTTTCGTGTTGTGGCCAGCAGGGTCCCGGAGAGAGTAGGGCATTAGGATCTAAGGCTAGGTTGTTACTTCTCCGAAAATGGATGGAATTGAAATTGAGGTGTTTAGGTCTCGAGTGTTTAGCGGCTTTCGCTCGGGGAGTGTGGGTTTGGGTCCGGGTTTTTTCGATTAAAGGTTGAGTTGGGTGTGGAGGAGGGATTTCAACAGACATGACAGGTTTTGATAGGTTTCGGAGAAGCAAATGGAATCAGGAAAGGATGGCGTGGGTGGTAGACCCTTCTGCTTCCGAGGGATCGTGTGTCTTTCGGGTTTGGAGAATCACGGACTGGTGGAGTTCCGAGAACCTTGACGTGTAAGGGATTCGGCGCATCCGGGCAGTGTGGCTTTTGACCAGGGAGCGTGTGAGTCGTGTTATAGGGCTTGGCGCTTTAGGTTTGGGGGTGAGGGCTTAGGGCCTAGGCGGTTGGGACGGAGCTACAGACGGCTGATGGTATCTTGTAGTTTCGGATCTTTACCGTGCCCTAAACCTCTAGTAACCCAACCCCAGCAGTACTCTAAAGAGTCCAGGGCGTGCTGCGCCGCCGCCCGGTTCAATCGGCCGTCGTGCCAGCGGATTCGTTTCAAGCACCACATCCTTGCATGTGTTGTCATCCAGCGTGGGTTAGTTGAGTTTCCTTCCTCAGGTGGTCTACGCGGCTTTGCAAATTAGAGCATCCTAACACCCATACAAACACCAACGGAAACCATACTACTTCATGAGGGTGCAACTCAGCCTTGGCCGTTGAAGCATGAACACTTTCAGCGCCCCAGGATTCAACTTAGGCGAAACAGCAAAGCGCTAAATGCAGGTGTGGACGGGTGCGGATGACGACGATGATGATGGTAACGATAACGATGATGTCCATGATAAACTCCATGGCGATGATGATGATGATGATGATGATGATGATGATGGTGATGACCGCAGGAGTCGGACTATATCGGTGCTTTTGTCTTCGACGGGGGCATTGTTGAAACATTACTAGTGATACTACGTGTCGTCACAGTCTTGTGTCATTCTAACGCTCCAAAATTTGCTCGATCGTGGCGTTTGTCTCGATGTAGGCTTACCCCAACATCTGAGCGGGGTTGCTTGAGATATTACGCTGCCACTGGCCACTGGGGTTAGGGACACTGCGGTGCTATTAAAACTACCAGCGCTCTATGGCCATCAAGGACAGCCGACCCCCTGAACTCCATATCACCAATGCTGCCCGGCATCAATGACATCAGCGCATGGGATTGGAAGTTAGGAACTTGCTCCTTGATCGTCGGGAGAATCTCCCTGTAGAAGCTCGCATCGAGAAAGCTGCTCTTGCCTCAGTAGCTCATGCCTCTTGAGCGGTCAGGGTAGTATCAATTCAGCACATCAGCACAGGTGGTACAAGGAAAACACCAGACTCAAGAAAAGCGGGCAGCCGTAGCCCCACATGATGTAGCCCAGCTGATCTGGTTGCAGTTCTTCCCGAAGTTCGAGAATCCTTTTGGAGTAGCCGAACCAGAGCTTCACATCGTGTTTCCGAAGTGCTGCCGCCTTCTGCACACATGCAGTGATGTAGTTTGCATCCATCAATGCGGTGTCGGAAGTAAGTGTTACGGGCAAAGGCAGGCGAAACTGGCGTACCCGATTTTGGGCCCACGAGCGCCACCGCTTGTTAAAGCGCGCGATTCCCGTTTTTCGCAGTCGCATCTCATCTCGGACTGCACGGAGCGTCATCCGCTCTTCAGGTCTCATCCGTGCTTTGAACACGGAACCTCAGTCATCCAAAAATGCAGGCAAGGAGCCCAAGAATCACAAGAAAAAAAACATGCATCGAATAAGCAGTTGCCCGAGCATACAGGCTTGACATCCCAGTGCCAAATCCGAAACCAAGGCGCTGAATCGGATGCTCCCTAACGCCGTACCTTCCCAGGTTTCCTGCGAAGGCGGGCATCTCCAGGACCCTTGCAAGCTGGGGAGACGAACAGCTCGCCCCAGGGAGGTCTGCAAGCCACGCACATGGCGCATCTTCGGGAAAAATGCGGTGACTGGTCGAAGGCTTTCCGCGAGCTCACTTGGGACAGCTAGCGCTTCGGTTCTTGTTGGCTCCTTCGCTTCAGGGCTATCTTGAGGACATGTGTGGGGTCTTCCGGCAGTCCGGAAGTTCAAGAGTCTTTGAACTATTTCCGGAACTATCTCCAAAGAGTCGTTGTTGGGCCACTCTGAGATGGGGCCAGGGGCTACAGGGGTTGGAGCTGGAGCTCACTCTGCGTCAAGGGTTTGGTGCAGGCTTTGCTCAGGCGAAGTTAGACCCTTCGGCTGCTTCATCTGCTCTGGGGGAGGGCGATGGTCGCCATTGTGGAGACCCTCCGAACTCAAGACTTCGAAGTCTATGGCAAACAGATCATAATGATCCGGGAAGCACTCGGCATGAAGCAAGCTCTTCACTGGTGTGCCAGTGCGAATGTTGCACATGCAGATCTTAGAATGTAGAGCTTCGTGAAGCATGTTTCTCAAACACTGCAAGACCCCTTCAGACTGCGCCTTTTCCCGCTTGCAGTGCCCTTGGGGACGAGCCGCTTCAAAGAGGGCCTTCCTGGCCCAATGGCGCTGAACAGCTGGACTCGTGGTGGTTGGAAGGATTACGAGTTCTGTGAGGGTTTCATCCAAACTGCCGACCGATCTTCCAGTCAGACAGAAGGGTCTGGGTTTCATCATGCAGAAGATGGAGATGTTAAGCCTTCGAGACCATTTCAAAACAACCCTTTCGGGTTCAGGATTTGTCGACTTGAAGCCTGATAGCAGAGCCCCGCAATTGTTACGGAAAGCTGTAGGTATGATGATATGTTCATACGCTCATATGTTCTAGTGGATCCTCCCAGCCTGAGACATTGAGCCAGGAAGCCTCTTGCTGCGACTGGGGTGGGAGAATCTGCCAGGGTGCGTCGCCCGCACCCCGCCAGCCAGGTCTGTGGCTAAAACAAAACTTTGAAGGATTGGGCCGGGGGAGGTTTTTGCAGACCTCCCTCGGCAGCAGCATCGCCGCTTTGGAGCACTAGCAGTTTTGGGCGGCGCGGCATGTTGCAGCCTGACGTCTAACCCAGAAATAGCTTCAACCTGCACCGGCACCCTGAAGGTTACGGCACACCGCACAGATAATATGCCTTGATGCATCTTGACGCTACACCGACGGCCTGTCCTTGGCTCATCTTCGTAACTATTCGGAGGCAAAGACGCAAAATCACGTCTATGTGTGTACGCACTTCCTTCCGTCCTTCCTTATGTACGCTGTTTTCATGTATACTCTCGGCAAGTTACAGTATATACAGAGGATTATCTGAACCATCGCTGTCACTGGCGTCTGGTTGTTGGCCCTGGAGGGCAACGCTTCACAACCTCTTACTTGCCAACCCAAAGCTTGCCCTTGTCGGTGCTTCCCTTCCTCAGCTTCTTCCATGCGTCGTGGGTCTCCTCAATGACCTGCCCAAGGCGAGCTCCCCAAGGGCGAGCGGAAATGCGAGGGGAAAGCTGCCTTGTAGGCTGAGGCATCTACTAATCTCCCTTCCTGTCATCAGGACCCACTCACCGGCTTCTGCAGGGCTTTCCAGGCTTCTGGGGCGCAGGCGTACATCCCCCAACGCCAGGGGTCAGTCGAGCGACATGGTCACCACAATCAAGAAGACTGTAATCGAACCCTATAGTCTTACCCATAAAGTCAGAAAGCCACATGGCAGCCTGTAACCGGTACAGTATAGTGAGCCGTGGGCCCGACATCTGAAGGAGCTTCGGCAGTGCTCTGCCACTGAGCTGCGTCGCGATGCAATCAAAGCCGCGCGCCGTTCATACAAATAGACCATTACCAGCAATTTGTAATTACCAGCGATCTCAAATATTCAGGTCTAGATTAGAAGCCCTGGTGGTGCTCGCGAGTGCTCGCTGGAGGCCTCAAGGGCGAACTTCTTGTCCAGCGCCTTTTCCTCGCTGGCACAGGGCATCATGAAGCATGAATAAACGCACATCGGTATGCTTTCAAGACTTGGCAGACGAAGCAGGGTCATGTACCATTTTCATGCTGTACAAGCTGCGCGCACGCAGAATGCCCGGCATTTAACAAGCTGCTCTCTGCAAAAGGTTCACCCACTTCGTGTCCTCATAGCCGAAGGCGTTCAGGGGCTTACCATCTGGGGTCTTGTACCAGCGAAACCTCGGCTAGGAGAAGCGTGCATGTGGCCGACATCCATCACGGAGCGATGCCAACAGCGAGCCCATGCACTTAGCTCGGCGAGCGAATGCAAGCTGAGGTCAGCAGCCACTCGCGAATGCCGCTGATGACCCCCGGACATTTCGCCTGCAAAAGCACGAACTCCAATGCTTGCTGGCCCAGGCGACCCTCTGTCGGTGTTGCGGGCTGCTCTGGAGGTGCAACGAACGTGAGTGCGGGCCTTATCGTAAAATAGCTACCAGCGAGCCTTTGCCCAACCATGGCCCATGCTACCAGGAGAAGGCATGCTCCAGAAAAGCTCTGGCGTGCCTTACCGTCGCTGCATGAATGCACAGCCCCGCAACCCTAAACAAGCGCCTCTACATCGGCGATGTCGTTCAGCTCTGCTGCCAAACTATCCGCCTCAGGGCTTGAGGCTCCATAAAAGCAACCAGCCACTGCAAGACGAGGCTTAGGATTCATCTGTATCATGGCTGCGACACTTGATCGCTTGTTTATGCCAGGCTGGAAGCCGAACCTGAAAAAGAGGAATGACATCTCGTCCGTTCATGTGCCATGCTGGACTTACCTCGGATCACCCGTGTTTCAGCAACCTCCTTCCCATGGAACCCTGGACGAAAGGGCTGCTGGTTTGACTATCCGAAGCCCTCGAAGGCTCTTTGCGAGCGTGTCCGAGCATCCCCGCTGCCCGGATGCCGATGATCTTCCTGGGGTGGGTAGGGCTTTGAGGGAGTCAGGGACTGAGGTTCCAAGAGCGTTTGGGTCGAGCAGTATACTTGGCGAAACGTCTACAAGGAAGTGGTCTTAGTAGCCTGTGGGGCTCCTACGATGCCCATGTAGGGATCATGGCACAGGCATGGATGTATGAATCAACGAGGTTCCTCAATCCGCACCTTGAACTCAAACCTGAAAGAAAGTCCCAATGCTGAGTCGTAGAGTCACCGGCCACTTTCAAGTAGCCAGGTGGGAGGCCAGCATGTGCAGGGTTGAGGGATAACGAAATCGAAACAGAACACCACAAGCGACTGTTACTGGCACTTCTTGTATGATACCTACATTCACGACAATGAAAACGGAAAAACCATTGTATACTGTACCATGTAAAGAGAGCGAGAAAGAGGTGCAATCATGTCGACTGCGCTCATGGGGCCTATTGCTGCTACCATTGCTCCCGTCTCCGTCCCGTTGCGCTCACTCGTCCGTGTCACCGTGTCCTTCCCTGCCCTAGGTGCCATAAGTTGCAATCCAAGCCTTGAGGTCCGAAATCCACAAAAGCCAACCACCGGGGCTGCGGCCAATCCAACTCTCCATCATCGATCATGGCCAAGGCCCCTAGCACCTCGTACCCCGCTCCGCAATATCTTCAGGGCCTTTTCGTTTAAACTTGTCGGTGTGTTGCCGGGGGTAGGGTTTCCGTCCTGGCACTAGTAACGACCAGTACGCTTGAGCGGGAGAGATGTTTGCTGGCACTCTTCTCAAGGCGTAAACTCCCTGGCCTAGGTCTCTTTGCGAAGCAGAGCAGCTTGTCATTGGCAAGGCTTGGCTTTACATGCCCTGCAAGGACTGCCAGCTTCCGGGTTTCGAGAAGGGCCAAGGAGGGGTTGCAGCCAGAACCGCAACTATCGCAAGCCTGAGATTGGAAGACATTGTCTAGCTGCAAAATGTGATGAGTGTACTCCGTAAACCAATCCCGAGGTCCCAAGCCCTCAATCCCGGACAGGAAATCTCAATCTAAGCACCCTTTTCACTGTCAGTCGCGGGCCCGAAGCCCTGAAACCCCAAAACGCAGAGCAAGAACGGAGTTCAGGCTCTGAGGTTGGGCTTGACGACGTGGAGGTTCTCACGCCTTTGGGTCCACAATGAACCCTAGACCCTGAAGTCTTAGTCTCCGCTCACTTTCGCACCTTGACTTTCTCCACGGAGCCCTGTGCTAGGGCCTGGCAGCGGGTGTAGGGTTCAGAGTTTGATGTGTTGGTTTGGCGCTTGGGCCGTGGAATTGAAGGTTCAGGGGTTAGGGTTTTGGATTCCGTGCTTGGGGTTTCCGGTTTGGGGTCGGGGACTCGGGATGTGGAGTTAAGATCCGGCTCTCATTTTGCAAAATAGAGAACCTGGCGCTCGTGGCTTCCCCTTCCTGTTGATGGGTTGTTTCATCGGTGAAACGGTGCTGAAGCTATGCTGCACCCGACACTCATGTTGGATGTCCTTGTTATATTCGCTGTGCACACCTGCCAGTGGAGTGCCGATTCATTCACATTCGGCAGAGCTCCGACATCAGTGTTGAAGGAGCCCACACTCCCCCTAAACCGTCTTTTTGTCGAAGGATTCTGCCTGAAGGCTTCCCCAAATCCGTCCCATCTGCAATTACTCCCTAAACCCGAAACCAAAATACCAAAACCCGAGACCCAAAGCCCTTGAAACCCAAAACCCACAGGCTTACACACCTCAGACCCGATCTCCACGATATCCACAGGATCCTGGCGTCATGAGGCTGGCAGGCTAAGGCTTTAGAATTTCAGGGTTCGGCGCGTTGGGCTAAAGGTACAGGTCAAAGGCTCTGTCAGTCGTCGTCGTAGCGGAAGCTGCGGGTGGTGGCGGCGGTCTTTCAAGCAGCGTTCGTGGAGTCGTATGGTCGATGTCCCGGGGCTATTGCCCGCTGGCGCATCGCTAGTTGTCTGTCGTTCGAAACATGAAGCTTGCTGTCGCCACAAGGTAATAGCTCTGAAGAATCATGACTACTGCTACTGCAACTTCCGCAATTCAGCAGATCCTACCCATTCATACAGCTGAAAGAAACTGAAACTGCAGGCTCCGGGACTCCGGGGCTGCGGCGTTGTCGCCGGCGCAATTTGTTTCCTTGTGCGTGACGTTCGGGTCCTGGGCAGCGCTGCCACTCTGCGGTTTGAGGGTGTTGATGACTTGAGAGGTTTGGGGGAGAGAGAGAGAGAGAGAGAGAGAGAGACAAAAATTCTGTCTTACTGAGATTGCCTCGTATGGATCATCTGCCGTGTGCTTGGTTCCGGGCCTTTGTGTTTCGGACATGCTCTTCCATGCAGCCCTTTCTCGAACGTCATAATCACACAGCGAGGGTTTCGCGAATTTTACAATGCTGACGATGCACTGGCACCGAGCCGTCTATAGACACCCAGGAAAGTTTGACTCGAAACCATCACGGCTCCATAGCAGACCAAACAACGGGAGTTTCTCCATCCAACTAGGGCCTAGGGGTCCTCGGTCCCGCTTGGGACTCTTCAACGCACTTTCCGGAAGGATCCGGCCACTACGAAAAAGCGAAAACGTTAAAGGTTTTTACTGTATATATAAGGTCTCAAATCACGGGAATAGAGTTTTCTGCATGACAATGATATAGTAGAACGCCCGGCATATTCACAGGGAATGCTTGTCTTACGATGATACTGCCACTAATTATTGGACTGCTTGGCCTCCCAGAATCGGCCGCAGTCTCTTTATGCCGCCATCATAACTTAACCCACAACTTGAATTCCACCCCATAAGCCTGAATCCGGAACACAACCCGAGCCCGACCTCCCACGTCTGTGGGAGCATGCCATAGTTCCAGAAGATCGGGCCGTGATAGTCTCGCAGCTTGCCTGACGATAAGGTTTGGGGTTTCGGGTGGGAGCAAGAGCAACCCCTGCAACCCCTAAATCCAAAACCCAGGAAGCATCGGGTTCGGAGTCGGGACACAGGTCTTGGGGGTGTTGCCGGAGCTTTGGGCAATGTTTACGATATGCTTGCATGACCTGGTTCTTCGGCGCGAACTCATTAGAATGAGTAGACCATTGCAAACTGCCCTGATGGGCAAACTCATGGTTGACGCATGTGCTTTTGTCCGTCGCTAGCATTGGAGGTCATCCCTTGTCTCCTCCTGCTCCTCATTGTCACCGACCTAGATCCTTATCACAATCACGAGCAGGATCATGAGAGGTCATGATAATCACCACCATCGCCTGCATAATTCTCATCGCTAGTGTGACTACAAGCTCCGCCAGTGCAAACTGCAGTGACAACAATTGCAAAATCAACAACAAAACAAAACAACAAACAGCTGCTCCGCTGCTGCTACTGCTGCTGCTACTGCTGCATGTGCTACTCCCAACTCCCCCTACTACTCCTCCTCGTCCTCGCCCTCGTCCTCCTCCTGCTCCTCGTCCTCCCCCTCTTCCTACTCCTAGCCCTACTCCTGCTACTCCTACTCCTACTCATTACTATCGCCACCACCACCACCAACACCACCACCACAGGAGGAGGACGACTACTACTACTACTACTACTACTACCACTACCACTACCACTACCACTACCACTACCACTACCACTACTACTACTACTACCACCACCACCACTACTACTACTACTACTACTTCTACTTCTGCTTCTTCTACTACTACTACTTCTACTACTTCTACTACGACTGCTAGCACTGCCACCGCCACTGCGACTGCCACCGCCACTGCGACTGCCACTACCACTACCAGTGCACGTGCCAGCACAAGTACCAGCTGCTACAGCTACGACTACCACTACCACTACCACTACCACCACTACCACCACTACCACCACCACCACCACCAGCACCACCACCACCACCACCACCACCACCACTACTACTACTACTCCTATCCTACTCCTACTCCTACTGCTACTGCTATTGCTACTGCTACTGCTACTGCTCCTGCTACTGCTACTACTACTACTACTACTACTACTACTACTACTACTACTACTACTGCTGCTGCTGCTGCTGCTGCTGCTGCTGCTGCTGCTGCTGCTGCTGCTGCTACTGCTACTGCTACTGCTACTGCTACTGCTACTCCTACTCCTACCCCTACCCCTACTCCTACTCCTACTCCTACTGCTAATGCTACTGCTACTGCTACTGCTACTGCTACTGCTACTGCTACTGCTACTGCTACTGCTACTGCTACTGCTACTGCTACTGCTACTGCTACTGCTGCTGCTACTGCTACTGCTACTGCTACTGCTACTGCTACTGCTGCTGCTGCTCCTGCTCCTGCTCCTGCTCCTGCTCCTGCTCCTGCTCCTGCTGCTGCTGCTGCTGCCGCTGCTGCTGCTGCTACTGCTACTGCTACTGCTCTCCTAAACTCTCGTACTGCTGCGGCCACTACTACCAGGTTACTACCATTACTCCTGCTCCTGTGACGCCACTGGTACTGGCACTGCTACTTTTGTGATCGCTTCACCACAGCATGATCCCTGCACGAACTCCGCGACAGACCTTGAAGTGAACCCCTCAGATTGTACTGCACGGGGCTTGTGCCGTTCTTCAGTCAGCCATGCCAGGCCTTTCTTCACGTCCTGCGCGATGGGGTTCATCTCCTCCTTGATGGCGACCTGCTCCAGGAAACTGGGATTTGTGATCAAACGGTGGCAAACATAGTGACAAGGCATGAGCCACGGAAGCTCGATGTGAACGAGCATAAAAAACCACCGTCGTGCGATCTACGTCAATGTGCGCAAGTACGCTGTCTGTGGCAATGACAATTGTACTTCAAGGTCCTTCTCCGTGCGTTTCTGGCTTTCCTTGCCGTTCCTTGGTGCTGTGGCTCCTGCTCTTCGGCTTCGGTGCTCGCAAGTCTGGCCATTGACCACCGACTCATGCCGTCTACTCCATTGTTGGCCGACACATGGCCGCGAAAGGCTCCCCTGCCGGCGGCCCATGCCAGCATGGATGCTCGTCCCATCATATTCACCTCGACAGCAATCACGATGGGCTATCTGCTCCTGCTCCTTCACCTCCGCCTCCTCCTCGTGCGGCTATTGTGTCGTCTGCTTGCTGTTCTGTTCGCTTCTTCTCCTCCTGTGTGTCGTACTGGATACCATCCTGACTTGCTGATCACCGAGCATCCAAGAAACTAGAGAGCACAGAAGTGCATAAGGTCGTAGGCAGCCTCATCCTGTGAACCAAAACTCGGCACTAGTGTGCTCCGGCGCCTCCATCTTGGGCTTCGTGTTCTTGGGGATCTCGATGAGGCAGTTGAAGTGCTGGGCAGCAGGCTGGAGGATTTGGCCGGGCTTTAGAGGCTCCTGCTGTGTGCGGTGGCGAGAGCTTGAAAGCAAAACACAACTCCTCCCAGCCGCGGAGGACCCTCTTTGATTAGGTGCGACTCTCCACCGTCCTAGGCCCCGAAAGATTAAGTGGACTGTAGACACTGCAGACCCAAAGTAGTAGGATCCTCAATGCGTGGAACCCCGAACGAAAACCCTACAATCTGAGGAAGCTCCTCTAAACGGGTATCAGAGCTAGGCCGCTTGTACATGCTGGGCCCGAATCTGGGTTCACGTAAAAAACCGCTCGTGTTGGAGCCTCGACCAGTCTCAGTAGTCCTGGTGCATAGCTGCAGACTAGTATAAGCTGTCTACCAAGATGCTTCGTTCACAGTTTAGGTTTCTAAATGAAGCACATCTCGTTATCCTTCGGCATTTGAGCTTGCCAAAGCAGGCTTGATCAACTCGAGCGCCCGGTCCACGAGAATCTCAAACAAATTCGTGCGTGGACAAGCATCCCTACTTCCAAAGCAAAGTGAACGGATCATCGAGCACAACACGCCTGATGCATCCTGATGCACAGTTTACCTCAATATCTGGCTTCCACGCCGCCCACAAAACCCAACCTCCGAAGACAAATCTTAGAGAGTCAGTAGCCCGAGACACTAAAGTGTGCAAAACGGAAAGGTCCCAGATTCCGCCCTTAATGCCAGCATGCAGCCCCATACCTTGCCTCACCACTCTTGAGCGGGATGTCGTGCCACGGCGAAATCTTATTGCCGTTGCCGTCCTCATGGCTCTGTGCTGGATACAAGTTCCGCTTCAAGGTTAGGGCAGACAGCAATGGGGTTCGGCTTCCTGCCTTCAATAGTGAAGGGTTTGCAGTTTCGAGTTTCGGGTGCAGGCGTTCAGCACGGGGCCTGGGGCGCAAACGTACTTTCCAAGTTGTAGTTGTGGATCTCAAGCTCAGTCTGAGGGTTCGCGATAAACCCGAAATCCTCATAAGATGGGCTTGAAGCTAACTTCTATAATAAGGGATGGGTTGAGGATTTTGCCACGGATGCAGCCACAACAAAGCTGCCCGACCTTTGAAGGAACGCGACCTCCGATAGTGTAGACCCTAAGCTCCACGCACGCGCCCTACCCAAAACCCTAAACCCCCCATAAAAACCCTGAAATAAGGCAAAACGAACCCGGCCCGGCCTTGAAGTGCATGCGGTACTCCGCAGTGCCCGCAGAGCCGACGATCTCCGGCGAGTAGGCCGAGAAGTACCGGACCTCTTCTTCGAATGTATCCGGGGTGTTGCGTTTAGCCTGTAGACTTCAGTCTTGACGGCTTTTTCAAGATTTCGATAGGCCTGTCAGCCTGTCAGCCTTTCGGGACCTTTGGAGCTTCCGCGCGGCTCTACTGCAGGCCGTGTAGCCCGCTGCATGCTCAAGGCGAGTCTCAGCAATGTTCAGCCCGGCAAAGTGATTTATGGAACTCTTCATGCTCTTCCTCCGAGGTCTTGCACAGTCTTCACTCGCTCGGGTGCGGCGGCGGCTCCCCATCCCTCTCTCCAAGACCCCAACGGGGGTCACGGCAGCCCTCAAGCGGGCCACGGCGCCTCCGGACATTCGGCTTCCAGCGGTTTAAGGCCATGGTTTCAGGCGTTTCAGGTTTCAGACTGCAGGGCTTTGTACTCGCTTGTGGAGAAATCGGCCGTTCAGAGGCACCAGACCCTGCTCTCTGTAAGATACGTACAACATAAGGCTGTGGATAGCAAAGCCCGCTTTAGCCGTGAAGGAGGCACTCTGGCAGATTCCTGATGCTATGGAGCCTTGCAGAGACAGAGATCACTTGCACGGGTAGCCCAAGGAGGGGAACGAAAGCTCACAAAGACCTCGCTCTTCTCTTTCGAGAACGGCACTAGTTCCCTGTCGGCCAGGCCGTTCGTCCAAAAGCGGCATGGCCCAACCCTGCAGGAGTCAGTGCGGCCTCGTGCACCCAGCTCCTGCTGGGGGTTTAGCCCCCGGGTGGCCCTCAGAATGAAGTCTGATTTTGCTGGTTCACCTCCACATGCCCTGTACTCGTGTTGATGGTTGCTTCAAGGACGATGGTATGTACTGTTCGGCCTGGGCACCATGCCGCTATGCCTAACGGGCCTAACGGCCTAACGTCAGCAGCCCTTGCATGCTCAACCCACCAAGCCCAACATCGTTTCTGCCTCCGCCCTGATCCTGTGATACCCAACTCCACTGCGAAGCCGAGACCGAAAAGTTATGGGCCTCAGCACCAAAGCCCTTCACCCCACACTCCAGGCCTCCATTTCTCAAAGCCAGGGACACTGCTCGCATGGCTGCTGGCACGCGATCTCACCTGAGCTCCGGACTTCGAGAGCTCCGGTGCAGGCTTGCTGGTTTTGGTTGCGTGTGAGTCCGAAGGGTAGAGGCTTAGGGCCAGGGTCCCACGGTTTCACGGTCCCACGGTCCCACACCACAAAGCTCACAAGCCGTTAGAAACCCAAGTCCTCAGGAACCCTACAGCACCCCCCGGGCCCGGACCTGGTGCCGCGGAACTTGAAATCTCTGCTCTGGAACCTAAATGATTAGGCTTTGGGGATGTGGGGGTCCTGGCGGTCCTGGGTCCTAGTCCTCGGGCCTGGGGGCATCATACACCTCCCCACCTTGGGAAGATCCCCACATGCCTGTGGAAACAAGCACTCGGAACTAAAACCTCTTTAGAGGTTCCGGGGTTTGGGTTTTGGGGATTGGGGAACTAGGGCTTCATTTGAGATGAGCTGCTTCGACGCTGACTACTAGGCGGAAGGGACGCCGCGAATGCCGAGCCCAGGCAGCGCAAGCAACGACATCAACGACCAAGCCTTAAAGGGGACGGAGCCTCATGGAACTACTGACATGATCTGGTACCTGATACGTTGTGAAGGCGAACCCTGTGCAACAAGTCGCTATTTGTGATCCCAGCACTCCTTAGCTTGCGTTCTATTTCCAAGAGTTTCGAGTTGAGCCTGGCGACCGTCTTCCAGAATAAATTTGTTGGGGGTTGGATTCTGAGACGATTCACTGGTACGACCGGCGTGTCTGTCATTTCTGGAGATACAGTCAGAATCGGCACTGTAGCTAAGCCGTTACCTTCTGGATTCTGGCTTGGCTAGCTGAATATTCGATTGATTACCACACCTGGCAACTTTACATGAAAAACCACAAGAGCGCATCAACGATGCTACCCTCGGGATTTCAATAGTTCCTGATACGTGCTGGACACGAGTTTGACAGGATTTGGGGTTCACCAACTTTTGTGCGTGCGTGCACGGCTTGAGAGTTTGGGCTTCAAGGGCCTAGATTGGCGATGAAGGATAATGCCAAGTGGAGACATGGAGACGATGCATTTCTTCGGCATGCGAATGTGAGCTTATCTGGCACCCTTCGCCACCACTGATCAGCCCAAGAATGTGCTCAACCCGCTCCGAACTGAGCTTTTTCTCCCCGGAGCCCATTAGAAATTGTGTCTGCTGCCCCTTCTGACTCCACCGGAGTGAAACCCACAGAGCTGATGCGTAGGGGAGACTGCTCGACATCAGGGATTAGGACTGCTAAGGTCCTCTTGCTCAAGCGAGCTTCTTGCTATGACCGATGCCGTAGTTCTTATCAGTTCGCTGAGTAGTGGTGCTGCAATGCTCACTCACCCATGGTACATATCTCTACCTTTGAGCTGGGTACTGCTACCAACCAGCTACTGCTATCTTGGCTATCGACAGCTGTTGGAACCAGCTGTTTGCTCAGAGGGTTGAGCTACTTCCACAGCTTGACAAGACTTTCTGAAAAGACCTGGGGTTGAGGTTGATCCTGGAACGTGGCCCACAACCTTTCAGACCGTAGTTCAGACTGTGACTATGCTCCATGCCAAAGCCCTGAACCGGAAACTCCTCACCCCAAACTCAGCTTCCCACCAAAACCGCGGGTTCAGGGTGTGTAGCTTCTGGTTCAGCTTGCGGGGCTTCGGGTTCAATATTCACGGGGTTAAGGGCTTTACGGTTTGGGGTGTTTGCCCTTGATAGTGACCTCTTCCGTGCAGCAGCTCGCCTAAACCCTGCTTGAGCAAATCCCCCCCACGTATGTACAGGCACGGCCGCGGTGCCCTGCTTTGCTTTGGGCTAGCCCTTCCCTTTATCACAACAATGCTTAAGGTGACTCTAGCCTGAAGCCCTAACTCCAAGACCCTTGTATTCTGAAGCGTCGACATACACACAGCTCCACGCCCAACCAAGGCCTAGAATCACAGAAACCGCGCCTGTCTCCAAGGTCAATATGAATCTTCAACCGCTTTTTAGTCAACGACTTCGTAAATTAGATCTTCTTCTGCACCCTGCATTTAGCCGGATGGTTCTCCGTATTCTAAGCCAAGTAAACCTGACATTTTTTATTGCGGAAGGCTCAAGCCACTGACCTGCAAGCTTAAACGGCAAGGCAGCGTAAACCTCAATAGTTGAGCCGTAATTGTTCAACGCTCAGCCAAAAACCGATGCAAGCCACCGCGGCACGCTCTCTGATAGACCGAGAGAGGAAACCGTAAAAGGCTCCGGTGATGAAGCCAGGTCTTCAGTGCTCAGGTTCCATGGGTTTTAGGTTGGTCCAGGATGTCATGTTGGCTGGCATGTCATATCATGTCCTCACTACTGCCACTAATTACCACCAGTACTCTCATCGCTTTGCCGCTTTGCGTCCTCCTCGGTAGTTTCATGATCATCCGACACTTGCAACCTCAAGTCAACCCTGGCATCCTCCGCACTCTAGGATATCCCAAACCCTTCCACCACTGGCTGACTGGTTGAGACTCACGTCTCGAGGCTCTTTTTAAGTGGGTCTCCACAAGGCCTTTATGGTGATCTCCCCGCGGTTTGCCTGTGATGACTCGACTGAAATTTCGGTACGGCCAGGCTGCCATGGCCACAAGTCCGCGTGCAAAACCACCCAAAAAGCAGCTTCCCAGCCCTCCGCACGAGGCATGGCCTCAAAGCACATCGCTCCGTTCTTCCATTGTTGCTGTTTTCTTCCTTAGCCTGAAAGATTCGACAACCTTTCTGAACAATGACCGTCTCGGCTTCAGAGGTAGCTGGGAGACCTGGCTGGCACCACCCGAGGTGCTTAAGACTGAGGATCAGCTCCGGCGAAAGTGTTGAACTCACATGAACCCGTGAGTAGTCATAGCAGTAGCAGTAGCAGCAGTAGTAGTAGCAGTAGTAGTAGTAGTAGTAGCAGTAGCAGTAGCAGTAGCAGCAGTAGTAGCAGTAGTTGTTGTTGTTGCTGTTGTTGTGGACTGTAGCAAAAGTCTAGTAGTAGTAGTAGTAGTAGTAGTAGCAGCAGTAGCAGTAGTAGCAGTAGTAGCAGTAGTAGCAGTAGTAGCAGTAGTAGTAGTAGTAGTGCAAAAGTCTAGTAGTAGTAGTAGTAGTAGTAGTAGTAGTAGTAGTAGTAGTAGTAGTAGTAATAGTAGTAGTAGTAGTAGTAGTAGTAGTAGTAGCAGTAGTAGTAGTAGTAGTAGTAGTAGCAGTAGTAGTAGTAGTAGTAGTAGTAGTACTAGTAGTAGTAGTAGTAGTACTAGTAGTAGTAGTAGTAGTAGTAGTAGTACTAGTACTAGTACTAGTACTAGTACTAGTACTAGTACTAGTACTAGTAGTAGCAGTAGTAGTAGTACTAGTAGTAGTAGTAGTAGTAGTAGTAGTAGCAGTAGCAGTAGCAGTAGCAGTAGCAGTAGCAGCAGTAGCAGCAGTAGTTGTTGTTGCTGTTGTTGTGGACTGTAGTAAAAGTCTAGTAGTAGTAGTAGTAGTAGTAGTAGTAGTAGTAGTAGTAGTAGGAGTAGTAGTAGCAGCAGAAGTAGAGCAGTATTTGTTGCTGCGGCCGCGAGAGCAAAGGCAGTAGCAGGAGAAGCAGCGGTGATGGCGGTGTAGTCTTGTAGTTACTATAGTGTTACTATATATGGTAGTTACTGGCAGAGGGGCAGTATTTCGATTCAGCAGTATTGGCAATCATGGTACAAGATGCAGTCTTGACATCGGCAACAATGAGGGCAGCACGGCAAGTGAAGCTGCAATGGTAGTGTCTACAAGACATACGTTACACTACCACCTGTACAGAAAAGCGCACTGGCAAACCGAACACTGATTCGCCCAGGCCGGAAGGGCATAGATGGCTGTTGGCCAAGAGTCAAGTCTCAAACTGATTTGGGATTCCAGGCTTTGCAGAAGTGGTTCCGGGCAAGATCCACATCAAGAGGTGTCCCAGACTGCATCTACTACTGCCGCTGCCACGACTGCGACTTCACTCTGCCACTACGAATCAGTTCTGTTGTATCATTATTCATCTTCGAATCCTACTGGGGTCTTGGGTTCGACCAACAGGATATGCTTAATTGTAACCCAATTCCAGCCGGGTGTTCTTCAGGGAGTCCCCAAACGAAAACGATTTCATGCTCTCCAACCTGAAACGAAATCTCACTTGAAGAAAAGAGAGCCCTAACCTTAGAGCCCTCAAATCCCAAGCCCCCTAAGCCCCCAAACCCGCAAGAGTCGCCATTGTTTCTAGAACACGGATATGACTATTCGCCTGCTTCTCAATGTTAC